TAATTTCGATCCGAATTACACGCGGTAAAAATAATATTATTTTCGTTCGAATCATTACTGTTAGTTAAATCCATTTACGATTGTTATTTTTTTTTTTTTTTAGATTTATAATCTTTTATGTATGACAATACCTACGTTATTAGCGATGATATCCGTGTAATTTATCCTTTATCCAAGAGAAATACTGTAGGATAGGTAGGTTATATGTGTTATAATAATCATTGTATATGAATTATATTAGTATACTCATGAATATTTACGGTTATAAAAAAAAATAAAAACAAAAAACAAATTTACGTGGAACTGCAACAATAATTTTTTTCGGAAATATTATATTATCATATTAATGTTGTGTGCCGTTCGACAAAAACCACTATTTTATATGATTTAAGTACCCCGCGACAGCGGCACTAAAACTGAACGCGGCGTAAAGTATTGTAGGCACGCTATATTAATTATCGAGGATAGGTTTATGATCCGGTAAAACGAATTATTTTATTTCGGTATTCAAATTTAATATTATTATACCTACGTAGGCGTAGGTATAAAAAATTAAATTACTATTTGCATATTATTATTATGATTGTTTAAAAATAAAAAATAATATTTTATAAACGGATGTGTGTGTTTGTGTGTGTGTGTGTGTGTGTATGTACGGGTTCACTCTGTTGGTATATCACCGTATAAAGACCGGGTGTTGGAGCATTTTTTTAATAAGGATTCTAGCGTCTAAATAGATCTTAGTGGTGTCACATAAATCCGGATTACTCGAACAAATTGCAACTTCGAAACAGAAAAATACGGATTTTTTACTTCAAAATATGAGAATTCTAACTTTTGATTTCATAATTTATAATTATAATGGTGATATTTTTTTTGAGTTGTATGAAAAATGCCTAAAAAAATCTTTGATAAAATCCAAAATACCGATTTAAAATTAAATGTCAGATTTCTATTGGGCACCTAGTAGTAGAGTTAGATTTTTTTTCTTATTGTGCGTCCGCTGGAAAGTAAACGAAAAACGATTAAAATTATTTGAATTCCTCTCACTGGTGGGGAAGAGAGAGTTACCTAACCGAAGAAAGTCCAAATAGAATGAAGCGAGAAGGTTTGGTCTATCCTCTCGTGGAGTTTTATTTTTTAATAAAAGGAGCTGACGAAAAATCACTACTATACATACGGGGTTTAATTTGTTTTTATTCCTGGTTTACCGGGGTACGGGAAGTAATACGGTAGCATTAAAATTTTACCGAGTTCCACTCGATATCGTTTTTTGATCGAAACGATTTATCGTCGTTTTCGGACTTTTTACAATTTATTACGATTTGCTATGAGGTCCCGTTACGTTTCGGTTTTCGAAAGTTACACGCTAATATACATAAAGCGGCTATACAACCGCCCGCGCAATAGAAAACAAAATAAATTTTTTAAAAAAAATGCGTTTTAAAATATAATAATAAAAAAAAATTAAGTCCAAAATAACTCACGTGCCCTTTGTGAAACGAAAGTTCATTATGCCGTATCTGTCACGGGATAACCTCGCTTAGCACTCGTACAGCACCGTGTTCCGCGCGCAGAATATTTAATATATTTTGACCGCGGACTTTTTTTTTTAAATTCCATTTTGTCACATTAACTTTTTTTTTTTCAAAAGTATATACCTATATAGCTGATGTTTTTGTTCTGCTGTTGTGACATTCAGCGCTTCCCCCTTCCTCCCGCCTTCCACGCGCGCTCTTCTGTCGTACTCTTTCTCTTATATAGTCGGTTTTTTTTTTTCTTTTTGTCGCCAAGGGAATCGTGCACTTTCCCCCTGCCCCGTTATATATATATATATACACATAAACATAATATTGTACACGCGTATACATTTTATTTATTATTCCGAACACATTTTTTTTCCCCGAGCCTCTCCGCAACCGGCTTTGTAATGTAAATATCGTTTTACACACTTATCTGGCTCGCGTATATACTTACTCTTTTAGCGATATCCCGGCCCCTGTCAACGGCTCGCGGACGGTCTCGGTTATATTATTATTATTATTATTATATTTTTTTTTTTTTTTACATCCAAAACTTTGCTCATTTGCATTTTAAACAGCTCCGACGAACGGTGTTTTTTTTTTTTTTAACATTTCGGGCAATTTTAACCGGCTCGGATGGCTCCCATTAAGCGCCTAACGATCGTTCTAACGTCTCAATGTGCTTCGTAGCAGTATTAACATCGCGATAAAGATAATAATATGATTAAAACACGGCTCATTTAATATCGCGCGTAATACGTTTACAAATACAGATCCGCGGACCATAATGTTAATGTTGTGCACGCAAAAGTTTAATTGCTCGAAAACGTTGGACACTGAACATACCTATACGATTTACAGCTATCTTAATTTGTTTGCTATTTCTTACATTCAAAATGTTTTATTTCCGCTGCACTACACGAACAAATGTTATTTTATCATGTTTTGGCAATTATTCTTAGTAGCTGCCGGCCTTCAAGACCATATCGACAAACAAACGCCATGCCATTCCTCCCTATCCGCTGCAGTTAAAACTCGCCAATAAACGTCTGGTTCGATCCTTTCCACGGTTTTTGTAACCTGATAGTACAGATAATGAACTGTTTGACATAGTTGACTTGTCGTCAGTGACCGGTTTATTAAAAGCTGTATATACCAAGGTGTATCAAGGTCAATGCAGGATTTACTGGGAGGGGGAGGGGCCCAGACACCGGTTTAATTTTAATAAAATACTGTCCAAAAAAGGGGAATCAATTAATAGAGATACCTTTTAAATACATATGATTTTTCAGGACACTCCCAAGAAAAACATTGAAAATCCTCTACTGATCAGGGTAAAATATCTCGGTTTATAAAATAAAGAGAACGTGGACCGATATCCTCGAATAACATTTAAGAAATGTAAGACCGGAAAATTGGAGAAACGCATAATTGAAGAGAGAAAGATATGGCGTGATATGATTCTGGTGTCTAAAACTCTTAAGCAATTAAAAAAATAATAATAATAAATAGGTTGATAAAAAAAAAAAAAAAAAACATAATTATAAAACAATAAATTACCAAAATATTTATTTTTTAAATCTTATAAAATGGATAAGTTTTCGGTGAGTGACCAAAAAGTGGATTATATGTTGGAAATATCAATCTTTTATTGTATTACCTATCAAGTAATAAAAATTATTACTTTAAAAATAATTGTATTGTAGCTCAATATACAAACTCTAAAGTCTGTGTAGCGAAATAATCGAAGATTTTCGAATGTCGACGAAATGTTTACAAATCCCCTTAAAAATATAGGTACCTTCCTACTAGTTATAAAGCAATAATTTATTTTTCATTGATTTCAAAAAGAACAATCGAATATGTATAGGATAGGATAGTATAAAAAATAAATAATTCACTTTTACATTCGGGGTAAAACAAACAAAAAAATGTAATTGAACTTTTTAGGTTTTTTCAAGTAAAAGGATCATCTTGAAAGGTTTATCTGATATTTTATTTGCGGATAGGAAATTGAAAAACACACGGTGGTGTATTTTAAAAAGGATACCTAATTTTTCCACATTTCCCAGTATTATTTTTTTCTCAAATACTATGAACAACTATTAAAGATAAAATATAAAATGTTAAAGCGTAGTTCACGATGAATCAAATTTAATTAATTTTGATTATTTTTTAATTTATTCCATAAAAAAATAATAAATTTAGAAATTTTAAAAACTCACAAAGCATATGTCATAAAATCTTTCAAAAATTGTGCAACTTATTTCTGTAAACTCGTAACATTTCCAACAAAAATAAAGTTTGCACATATTTGCATACTTCTAACTGCGTTTAAAAGTTATGAAAATTATCGAAAATTCCTTTTAAATGTTTAAACGTTCCGAATTTTATTACATATTTAGCAGTTTAATTACGTTGGATAACGAAAAATGTGGATTTTTTATGGGATGGAAAATTCGTTATTAAAAAATAGCACTATGATAACTGACGCCTGCAGATAGGAAAATATTCCGACGATATTATAAATATTAAATTCTGAAAGAAGCGAGAAGTGTGTTTGTATTACTATGCGGTACACGTTTTTCAAATTTCGTTTGACTTGTTGAATCTATAAACAATTTTTCTTTTAGAAATCTCACGCCTATTTTAAACCTTATAGGAACTTTTATGTAGAATTTTGGAATTTTTGCATTTTAGAGGTCATAATTTGCATTTCCCGGTAGTTTTCTTAATAAATGTGAAAATATAGCATTATTTTATATGGTTTTTGTTTGATTTTTCTCGGTTACCCCGGTAACGAGGAACAAAACACGACTAATAATATACTGTACCTTTTTTCGTTGACAATGGTTTATCGTCGCGTACAGATATAAATTAAATTACTCTTTGTACATTCTATACCTTCCTATCCAATCTCCGAAAACAGTGGCAAGACCCATCACCCGTATCGGTATTTTTTCACACTATATTTTTTAACACTAAAAAAAAAAAAAAAAGAAAAAAAAAAGGTTGGCCGAAGACTTTATGCCAGAATTATGTGACGTAATATTATAAAGAATATAATGTACACTTTTAGAGACGTTTCCGAAAACGTAACGTAATAATACAAAAGGGTTTTTTTCTTGTTCTCCGTTTTCTCTCTGTCTTATTGCTACGGACGTTTCCGAATTTTCGCGTTTATTAAATAATATTTGAATATTGTTATTTTTATTATCGTTATTGTATTATAACGGCGGCGGCGGCGGCGGCGCGCGATTCGGCCGGGAGACGACGAAATTCCGTACAGTCTCCGGTCCCTCTGGCCCGGGGCACGTCGAAACGGATTTGGGCGATAGGAACTCCTCGGCGCCCGGGCCGACGCCGGTATATTATTACTATCGGAACTCTGCGTGTACATTTATTATCGTGTAATCGGGTTATCGTCACGTCACCGTTCCAAATTGGAAAACTATACGCGTCACCCTCCGTTCCGTAATGGCGTCGACACCCGACGATGGAAAAAAAAACCGACACAACAATGAGCCATCACTTCCGGTTATCTTCCGTTTCGGTCTGTTCGCGAGCGTTGGCGGGCGGAATGGACAAGCAGAAAAGACGGTCTCGTCCGTCAACCGTTCTCCGCTGCCAATTGCCTACGACACCGCGTCGTGTGCAGCCGCGTGTAATTTCATAATAATTCCGGGGCGGCAACACGAAAGCAAACCAAACATAATCCGAAATCCCGAAATATCACGTAAAGTATTAAAGATTAAAAAAAAAATATACGGACTTATTATTCCCACGATGGATGAGTTACTGTTGTAGGTGAGAGTTTCAGAAGGTAGGATATCGGATATCCTCTTAGAAAAGATTCTTTACCTGAAAATCGACACAAATTTCAGTTAAAAAATTTGTTTACAGAAAAAAAATTAACATCAAATGCATTCCTTGCTTCGCTCTAATACAAGTGACTCTAAAATGTTACATAGCCGTTATTTTCGGCTCCTTTATTAAAACGTTCATAAACGGGTGGAGTTTCAGTTCATAAATTGCCCGAAAAAAGTCAATACTTTCCGAGATAACGAGTTTCTTATCGAGGATCGATCACTTTGTAATACCTAAAGCGCAGCGTCTCTTGAATCGAAATGCACGCGAATCGTTGATTATAGACTTCAATATTTTTGCACGGAAATAATAAACGAACAATTTGAATGTAATAATATTTTGGTCCTAGTGAAGGTATTCGATTGTGTAAATTGTGTGCATTTTTCAATATGAGCAAATTAGTTTTTGAGAATATTTCTGAACGTCTCAATTGCTCTAGAATAAATATGACTCACGTCGTTTTAGTCAAACAAAAAGTATACTTAATGAGTTATGATATTTTTAATTTTCGGTATAAAATAGCGTGTTTGTATGCATGTATATCGCACGTGTGCAATTGTCCGAGTCCAAATAATTATTGTGTAAAGTAAACTATGTTTTTGAAAGGTTTTCAGTTAACCGTGTGCCGAAGATATATCGTTTATAATATCTGTACGTTACTCCTATACATTATATGCATAATTTTAAATTTAACTAACCGCGAAAAGCTCCAAATGAATAGCCACGTCAGGACCCCAAACCGAATATTTATTTATTTCGGATGGCACGATGTTAATTAAAATATAAATTGTCAATAGATGAGTTTTTGCCAATTGTAAATTATTATTTATCGTATGTAAAATACAACTATATCACACTCTGCAAGTTTAATGAATGACACAAATAAAAATATGCAAATGTCGGGAAATCGACTTTTAATGTTTCTTAAATATTCTTCGTAATGTTCAATCATTTTCCGATGAGAAACCGTTAATTTAAAAAAAAATAATTGTGTAACAACATTTAGTCAGGTCAGAATATTATGAAGTCCCGTCTCAGCAGTATTGATATTCACACTTGAAACTATGTTTTATTTTAAGCGGAAACAAAAACATTTTAGACCATACTTGTCTTTAATATTAAATTAATGAAAAAAACCGAGCATACCAAATTATAAAGGATACATGTCTGCATATTTCGATAGTAATGACTGGAGAGTTGTATTTTTCGAGTTGTGTCACTGTACAAATTTCAATACTTACACACAATACGTGCGTTCACTGATTTTTGATAAAATGCCAAGTGCTATTCGTCATCAGACTTGAATGTAATACTTTTTAAAGTCATTCCCGAATACACTATTGCATGTTTCTGAAAAAAAGTATAATTCAAATATTCGGAATACTGCCCATGTCTGTTCGACACAAACCATAAAAACGATATTACTATAATAATATCATTATGGTTTCTGCATGAATAATAAATACATAGTAATAATATACTGTTTACACCCACCTATCGAGTTCGTGTCAACCGTTTTAACGATACGAAAACTGTATAAGTGGTATTATTTCCGTGTTTGATATTTTCCACCGTCCAAGTGCGTTTAGGTACCTTTCCCCATATCTAGTATAACCCCATACTCAATATAACAAAATTCAGTTAAAATAAAAAATAAAACAAAACGAACGGTAAAATAATAGTAGGTATCATGCAATATTCTGTCAATCACATTGTCGTTTGTTCGTGACAACGCGAAAGATTCCGATGGGAAAAAGCTCTCTCGGTCGTCTACGAATTATTTCGTTTTCTTTACTGACGATGGGAAAACTTTCCAGATGGTATTTTTTTTTTTTTAATTTCCCAATTTCGAAACGAACATTGAATGCCGTATAAAACGGGACAGTGAAATATTCAACATCGGGAAATGGAATACTTGTCACGGCCGTGTCGTAATATTATATTAATGGCGTGTGAAAAACGAAATTATGTTTCCAAGGGTTGAAAAAAATTAAATAAAAATAAACTTCGCACCATGGGTGGGCTACTTCTGTATGTAGAAATAGAAGGTTTGGAACGTTTGGAACGATATATGGTGATTTAGTTTAAACGCACGGAGTGCGACGATATATCATTGTAATTAAAAAACGATTTGGATCGGATCTCGATAGACTGGTATAAGGATATAAATTTGGTTGTCGTTTGTTTTCACCCTTGTAGCCAAATTAATATTCAGAAATCAACAACAATAAATACTGACGTATTTTGCTGTCGGTTATTTTCATTTGTTAGTTTTTTAGAAAAACTATTAACAGGAGTCAAATAAAGAACCGACTTCGAGCAAAAATCCCGCATATTTTATTTAAGATACACCGTGTGAACAATTTAGTGGCGTATCTGAGATGGGTAATAAGAGAGTTTAGCTGTAACTTCTGTTGAGTTTAATTTTATTCTCAACTTTAAAGTGGTTTAATTTTACCTATTCCAGGAACAGAAATCAATACCATATAACTTTTTTAGATTTAGTTATATGCGTTTGCATAGTGCGCGAATATTTATATTAATTTGTACTGCTTTGGTCTTTTAAACATGATTTGAAAACTCGGCTGAAATACGTAAGAAATACGTAAGAAAAACGTTTGGTTGGGTTAACGTTGCTCATAGAGGTAAAATAATTCAAGTTGATAATGTAGTTGACAGCGAGCAGTAAAAAAAGATTGAAGGTGGGAGGTTCCGGCGAGCAGTGGCAGTGGGGCCGAGAGGGCCCGGGCCCCCCTTCAAAGTTATATGATACACGTAGTTGTAATAATATGAGTTAATAATGATTATAAATCGTTGTTCAAGTTCGACCAATTATTACAGTAGTTGATAATGTTGATACTTGATTGTAATCTTATCAGTATTTTATATTTAGTGTTCATTGTTTAAAATAAACGTGGATATTTTTGTGTACGCCCGAAAACGAATCCTGTACCCGCCACTGCCCACCCTGGCATTGGTCCCCGGGCCACCAGACATTATATTATATACATTATATTTTGATATTTAAATATTTTTTCGTTGCTTGATCATGGCTTATTCGTATATTATTTTATAGTACAAACTACTATAGTAAAATCGTTAAAAAAAATGCACTCATTTATTTCACGAATATTCGTGGCTTTTAAAATGAGATCCACATGATGTGTATACCGTTTATTATTTTTCTTTCGTTAAAATATATTGATTAGTAAACATTTTTCAAAAAAAAAAAAAGTTCGGCCCCGGGGACTGTGATAGTCCTTATACGGGCTTGATGAAACTGCGCATTTCGCCGATCCGCGCGACATTACGCCGCCGTCCCGGGGTCGTTGATTCATTTTACGCGTATCACATGCGATCAAAGAGAAAAATGTCGTACGATTTCGAAACCTCCGGGTCGCGCTTGACACTCGATATTAATAACTCGGTGGGAGGGTGAACGAAAACGACGAAAGCGATTGGGGGGAGAAAAATCCGAAATTAACAGTTTACTGGCTGTACCGGCTGTACCGACGACCGAAACATGCCGCGCTCCGTCCACGCGCCGCACCGGCAACGCGATCCGTTCTCGAAACGTCGCCGAGGGGAAAGGCGCGCGCGTGCAGCGCGTCGGCGGCGGTTCGTTCGCGGCCGTTGAAAAAGCGCATCGGGCCGTTATAACCGCGCGCTGCGACGGAAGTCGTAAAACACTTTTTTCGGCGTAGGGGAAACGTCAATAATTATTATTATATTGTCGGACGGTAGGTGTATGTTACAAAACGAACACTCGATGGTTGTTGTTTTTTTTTTTTTTTTTTATACGATTCAGCGTGTTAAATACACCGCGCCGGTACACGCCGTATATACGTTTAATATTATTTTATAACGACCCCTGTTTTCCTCCCCCCCCCCGTATACGATACAGAATATCGGTGTACGATTCCGACGGCCGACGATCACGCCGGTATCGCGTTACACCATACACGCGTATTCGTAATATACGAACGCGCGTTGTGTGTTATTATTATTGCGCTTTTATGGAGCCCAACGGCGTCGTCGAGTACCCTGTATACGCCGGAAAATGCGCCGCGGATTATGTTATACAGCGTGTACGCGGCCGAGGACGCCGTCGTCGTCAGTGCGCTTGACTCTTGCGCCGCGGTCGTTGTATTGTATCGGCACCGGTTGCAGCGGCCGTATACAATCATACGGTGCGAACAATAATATGATGACAATAATAATAATAGCGTGTAATACGACACTTTGTCGGGGGCCGGTGACGAGTACGTAAATAATTTCGGATATGGAAAAAAAAAAAAACGAAAAACAACCGTCGACAAACGGGTCGGGTCGAGTTAACAGCGGGGACCGACATTTTTACGCATCCGCATATTTTTTATCGGTAGACCGGCGGCTGGTTATCATATCGAAACGCGTTTGGCGACCGAACGAGTCCTAATCTATATTGAATTTCGCACGTTTTATCGAAAGAGTGTCTCGAAGATTTCGTACAGATTAAGAGCGTGTTTGGGATTTGGTAAATTTTTAAGGCAATTTTCCATCTCGACGAATGGAGAATCGTAAAATAACATTGATCCAGAGTTACAAACATCTGCAGCATTCAGTATACCAGCTGATAATATACCAGCATCAGTGACGTGCAGAACATTTTTTATACCTGAGGCGGACAAAATAATTAGAACCCACCCGCTCTAAACATGGATTTTTATATGTCCTGTAAATAATTTGTTTTACTGCGAAAACCGTATTTAACTGAATTGACTACATACAATTATATAGCCCATAATATCCGTATGTAAGTATATTAGAATTTATGATATTTTTTGTTTTGTTTTTTTTTTTTTATTATTTTCAGTGAATATTTTGAAATTATCACGTGGCTTAACTGCATACAATTCCAATACGCTATTAGTGCATATTTATGTTCGTTCTACTTCAAA